TTAGCAGGCCCGTCTATCCTCAGCTGAGTCCCAGCTGCAGGTTTCAAACCTTGTAAAGCTCAATTCTTTTTGCCCACACAGCCATGAGAAATTCCAGCTAGGACTGAAAACCAGAGCTGGGAAAAAATTACTTTTTTTTTAATGACTCCCCAAATCTTTCAGTTATGATAAAATCATCCTGTCCTCTCCTATACCAGACATTAGCAGGCCCGTCTATCCTCAGCTGAGTCCCAGCTGCAGGTTTCAAACCTTGTAAAGCTCAATTCTTTTTGCCCACACAGCCATGAGAAATTCCAGCTAGGACTGAAAACCAGAGCTGGGAAAAAATTACTTTTTTTTTAATGACTCCCCAAATCTTTCAGTTATAATAAAATCATCCTGTCCTGTCCTATAAGGCAGGTCAGCTGAGAGAGCGAGAGCGAGCGTCTAGGCCACCTCTCATCAGTGGCCTAGTGAGGACAGTCCCGGCCGCACACTTAGTACACCATCCTGTTGACTCTGTGGGACCTGGGAGGTCTAGGCTGTGATTTCCACTGAGCGGTTAAACTTGCTAGGAGGCCAGTGGGGTCCACCACTTTCTCTCACATCTGACCCAACTGACAGGGGTCTTGTAAGGATAAAGTGAAGAGGAGGGGAAGCCATGGATACCACCATGACCTCATGGGAGGAATAGTGGGATCGAGATGAATCAATTATGTAATAAATATAACAACTGAAAGAATAATTCACAGATACTGTAGACCTGCAGAGTTCGGGTTCTCTGCCGGTCTACCGACATTCATACCACATGTACACCTTTTGGAGGCTCACAGCTTGTTCTTCAAGATTCTCGTCATGACTGATATGTTTAATTTGATTTCTTATATTGTTATTTGTGAATTTTATGTTATATGTTATTTTATTAGGTTGTGAACTGCCCAGAGTGGCCTTGGTAGCCAGATGGATGGTATAAAAATTGAATGAATGAATATTAATCCTCTATCTCCCTTTCTGCTCCTCTCTTCCTCTTCAACCCAATATATAAACTGCCTTGATTCTACAAAGACCGTCCCATGGCATGATCTGTGCATTCTTTAGCTAGACTTTCTCTCCCCCGATTTCCCAGATTACTTGCTGGTGTAGGTAGCAGTACTGTAACAATTTCCACAGGTTGCACTGGATTTCTTAGGATCTCTTGCCAGCAGCACATCTTCTCAGTGCTCATCTTTCTACAGTAGGCCAACATGCCACATCGATCATTTCCAGTATTTAGAGTTTGTAATTAGCCAACAAAAGAAATGTTAATCCAAAATAATTTGATTTTTCGATTATCAGTAAAACTAGTAGACTGATAAAAATTGAACTAATATGAATATTATCTATCTATCTATCTATCTATCTATCTGTCTGTCTGTCTGTCTGTCTGTCTGTCTGTCTGTCTGTCTGTCTGTCTGTCTGTCTGCATACGTACACACATTTATATCTACATAGTAAATTACACTGTGTTGAAGAGCATGCATCAAGTACTTGCTACTAGATTTCAAAGGTTAAGAATTTAGTGGCACCTTATTTTTTAAAAGTGTTGCATTTCAGGACAGAGCAAGCAAGAATTAATGAATATGTGAATAGCGCCAGCATGATGCTGAAGTCCATGAGAGAAAAAACGTGTGGTAATGATCTAGGAACACTCGTTGCCACCTGTCTTAAGCAACAGACTCATCTGATGCAGAATATTATTTTTGGTGCTTCAGCAATTTGGTGAAGGGGAAATGAATGCTCTTTGTCGTTTGTTTAGAATAACAGAATGATGAATTTGGAAGGGGCCTATAAGGCCAACAAGTCCAACCCTTGCTCAATGCAGGAATACAAATCAAAGGATATCTGCCAGGGCGTTGTCTAAATTTCTCTCCCTCCCCTAGCCAAAATGAAATTATCTGAGCTTCAAAAAGGCAGGGGAAAAATGGGGTGGGGGGCAGATTGCCTGACAGTCCTCTAAGAGATGGGCCATAAACTCCCAACTTCTAGCTAAGGAGGAGCTTGAAACCAACTTGCATACTGCAGCTCTCTCCATCTAAGAAGCGAACCTGGCTTCAACATCATCAGCCATGTGAATTTGGGACATTAATAACAACATATAAGTTTGGAACGCAACAATAACTTGATGCACAGCCTTGAAGAAGATGAATTATCATTGAAAGCTCACTGGTTGTTTTTTATATATAGCACCTCTTCCTGTATTTGTAAATTTCTCTTGAATGTCTCCAGTGTTGGAGCACTCGCCAACTCCCAAGGTAACTGGTTCCATTGTTGTACTGCTCTAACAGTTAGGAAGTTTTTCCTGATATTCAACTGAATTCTGGCTTCCTGTAACTTGAGCCCATTGTTGTGCATCCTGCACTCAACGATGATTGAGAATAGATCCTGCCCCTCCTCTGTATGGCAGCCTTTTAAGTATTTGAACAGTACTGTCATATTTTCCCTCAGTCTTGTCTCAAGGCTAAACATGGCAGCCTTTTAAGTATTTGAACAGTACTATCATATTTTCCCTCAGTCTTGCCAAGTTCCTTCAGTCTTTCCGCACAGAGTTTGGTTCCCATTCCCCTGATCATTCTTGTTGCCCTCCTCTGAACTTGTACCAATCTGTTGCCATCCTTCTTAAAGTGTGGTATCCAACACTGGACACAGTACTCAAGATGAAGCCTAACCAATGCTGAATAGAGGGGATCTAGTATCTCACAGGATTTGGAGACTATACTTCTGTTAAATAGCATTTTCCTTTTTTGTAGCCACATCACATTGTTGGCTTACATTCAGCTTGTGGTTTATGGCAATTCCAAGATCCTTCTTGCTCGTAGTATTGCTGAGCCAGGTATCCCCCATCTTGTAACGGTGCACTTGGTTTCTTTTTCCTAGCTGCAGTACTTTCCACTTATCCCTGTTGATTTTCATTCTGTTGTTTTCAGCCCAGTGCTCAAGCTATCCAGATCATTTTGAATTTTGCTTCTGTCTTCCAGGGTATTAGCTATTCCACCTAATGTTGTGTCATCCCCAAATCTGATTAGCATTCCCTGTATCCCCTGATCCAGGTCACTAATAAAAATGTGGAAGAGCACAGGGCCCAGGACTGAGCCCTGGGGTACCCTGCTTGTTAACATCTTAAGAGCATTAAAACCTACAGTAGTGTTGTTGGGGAATGAAGGAAGAGTAAAAGCACGATGGAATAACCTTTGGCAAGAACCAGCACATCAGTACATTCTCTGCTGTGCAGGGGGAATGGGGATTAGGAAAAATGGCAAGTAGACACAGCCAACACATCCTGCCAATAACTTATTCCCTTCTGTGGCAGGGGCATATTTACTCACATTGGCCTTAACCCTCAGTGCACTTTGCCTGATGTTCTCCAACGCAGGGAAGGCTTTGATAGCCAACCTAATTGGTCAAAGCAGCTGGAGGTTTGCTGTCTCCTTGCCACTACAACAGAAGCTGTTCAAATGTTCCTCCAGCATGGATCTTACTGGGTTGCAGAAGCAGCTTTTGGATTCCATGGGTAAATTTCCCTGGCTAACCTTAGCAGGTGGATCTCAGGAGGAAAGTGGTTAGCTGAAATCTGTAGTATGTCACACAAATCCTTTCCCGAGCCAAAGCAATGTGTGCAGCACCTTCCAGATGAACTCCACATACAGCAGTTGTCCATCTTTCTCCCGTCCTCTCTCCAGATTAAGAGTACATATGTGTTCCATTCCCCACCTCCAACAAACCTGATATTTATTCTGGGAAATACTCACATAGAAAGATTGATTCACCAAGACTATGTAACCATGACTTAGCCTAGATCTTTAGAGGACAAAGTGTATTATGTGAGCATTTCAGAGTCATTAAAAAAAAACCAAAATGAATTTCTAACCCTTATGGCAGCAGCAACACACACACACAAAAAAGCTTGAAAAGGTGAATCCAAATGACACAAAAAAGAGGACTGGTTTGGGGGCAAAACTGGGGTGGATTAATAAAAATTGAACGGGAGAGGGAAAAAGTCTTGGCCTCCAGCAAGCGGGAAACAAAAACTGGAGTGGTTTTCTTTTGATGGGAATGAACAATGCTAAATAAAAAAAAGCAAAACAGATCCATTCAGGCTAGCGAGAAGAAAGAAGTCACATTGTGCAAGCCTTTACATGTTTAATTATAAGTAAATCCCATTGAATTCAGCCGGGCTTACTCAGATGTAAATCAGCATGGGATTGCAACCTTTCAATGCGTTATTTTCAACTATTTCCATTTAGAAAGCTTGTAAGAGAGATTGGCTGTCTGATCTTTCTGATATTCTGGTTATTAGATGGAACATTTAAAGAAAAGATTCTCTCTCTCTCTCTTGCCTGACAAGTGCACGTGGGCTGGGTTCAATGGGCTTGATGAACACAAAGCACAGTCTTGGAATGCCAGATTCAGTTTCCATATGCCATGTCTTTGTAGAGGTTTGCAGAGACTTCTAAAGCAGATAAGCCCTGATTAGAAAGAGAAATAAAATGCCTTGGTGGCAGGAAGAAAAAAATAATGTCTTCTTCAGGTAGGACTGCAACAGGTCGAAATGGCCCTATGTCATGTTGAGGGAGGGCGGGGGGCGGTAGTGAGGAGGATGGAATATTTCTCTGTTCACCCAGGTGCAGCCATGGATCCAGCAGACAGGGACCTCAGCCTGAATTTTTTTTTGGGGGGGGGAGAGAGAATGACTTCTCCTGCCTCATCCAAAGCCACCAGTACTTCAACTACAAATCACCACATTCCTTACAACTCATTTACATGAACCAGAGCTTATCCCCTCAGAAACTGCTTTGTCCTTTCCTTGCCTCCTAATTTTGCACTGCTGCATACAAGGACTGGGGAACCTGTAAGCCCTCCAGGTGTGACTGTGCTCCATCACCCACCAGTTTCAAACTGTACAGTAAATGGTCAAGAATAATGGGCCCTGGAGTTCAACCGTTATTTTCAGGCTCTTTACTTAAGAAAAGCTACTAAAATGGGGCGCCAGGGTGGGGAGAGGCATGGCTCAGATGCGGAGCTCATGGCTTCAGTGTAAACTCCATCCTTAATATCTTCAGGTAAAGCAGCAAAACCAACAGCATTGTGGCACGTTAAGATGAGCAAGTTTTATGTCGCTTGAGGTTTTGTGGACTGCAGCCACGTCTTCACATGCATGGAGTTGCAGGATCAGTAGACACCTATTTATACACTGTGGGAGGAGAGAAGGCAATAAACAGCATGAAATTCAGGGTCATTTAACAATCTTTCTGATATGAAGAATACAGATCTTAATGGTGACTCCTCAAAGACCATTGACTGGTGACAAGTATTTCCAAGCAGAGATAACAAGCTGTCTCCTGGCACCTTAAAAACTTGTAAGTTCTTTTTGCCATAAGCTTTTCTGGACTGCAGCCCACTTCTTCAGATGCATCTTGATAATGAATTGTCATGCTTTACTGTGCTAACAATAACGAATAGTCAGACTTTAACACATCGGAAGGCTCCTGGTTATTTTCACTGCAACAGATTAATATGTTTAGCTGCTTAAAAAATCCAAACATAGATACCATTTTTATTAGAAGGGGGGTGAAGAGAGTGTGTATAGATGCCTGTTCACTGAGGCCATACTCCATGCATCTGACAAAGCAGGCTGCAGCCCACAAAAGCTTATGCTAAAACAAAACATATTAGCTTTCAAGGTGATGCAAGAATCTAAGCTGCACTGATGCACCTACTCCTTTACCCCAATCTTCAGGTAAAATAACCCAGGAAGCTGGGATAAAGGTACAATATCTGCCAAACAGCTGCTAATCGGTACATCAGATAGTTTTCCTCACCTATCACCTGGACTGGAGCTGGTTTTACAAGAACAGACTTTTCTAGTTCCATCATACTTAGCAGATGTCTGCTTGATCATAATTTTCCTCACCTATCACCTGGACTGGAGCTTCCCTCTATCCACTTTATCCAACCACTGCATAATTTTATACGTCTCAGTCATGTCCCCCCTCAGGCGCCTTTTCTCTAGATTAAAGAGCCCCAAACGCTGTAGCCTTTCCTCATAAGGAAAGTGCCCCAGCCCAGTCATCATTTTAGTCGCTCTCTCCTGCACCTTTTCCAGTTCCACAATGTCTTCTTTGAGGTGCAGCGACCAGAACTGTATGCAATACTCCAGGTGTGGTCTTACCAGCATTTTGTATAATGCTGGCTGTTTTATTTTCAATCCCCCTTTTTAATGATCCCTAGCATGAACTGGCCTTCTTCATTGCCACTGCACACTGAGTTGATACTTCCCTCACTAGGCCAGATGCCACCACCACATCCTATGCCAAGGAGTACCACAGATAAACAACACGTTGGGTAAAGAAATTTTTTCTTTTGTTTGTTCTCGCTTTCCCAACACTCAATTTTAGTGGATGTCCCCTGGTTCTGGTATTAAATGAGAGGGAAAAAAGAGCTTCCCTCTATCCACTTTATCCAGACGCTGCATAATTTTATACGTCTTAATCATGTCCCCCCTCAGGCGCCTTTTCTCTAGAGTAAAGAGCCCCAAACGCTGTAGCCTTTCCTCATAAGGGAAGTGCCCCAGCCCAGTCATCATTTTAGTTGCTCTCTCCTGCACCTTTTCCAGTTCCACAATGTCTTTTTTGAGGTGCAGCGACCAGAACTGTATGCAATACTCCAGGTGTGGTCTTACCAGCATTTTGTACAATAGCATAATGCTGGCTGTTTTATTTTCAATCCCCTTTTTTAATGATCCCTAGCATGGAACTGGCCTTCTTCATTGCCACTGCACAATGAGTTGACACTTCCCTCAAGCTGTCCACTGGTACACTAAGATCTCTTTCCTGATCCGTCACGGACAGCTCAGAACCCATTAACTGATAACTAAAGTTTTGATTTTTTTTTGCCGCAGTGTGCATTACTTTACATTTTCTTATCTTGAAACGCATATGCCATTTTGCCGCCCATTCTCCTAGTTTATAGAGATCCTTCTGGAGCTCTTCACAATCCCTTCTGGTCTTCACCACCCAGAAAAGTTTCATGTCATCTGGAACTTGGCCACTTCATTTCTTATCCCGGTCTCCAGGTCATTGATGAACAGGTTGAAAAACACTAGTCCCAGGACAGATCCCTGGGGCACACCACTTTTCACTTCTCTCCATTGTGAAAATTGCCCATTGACACCTACTCTCTGTTTCATGGTTCTCAACCAATTCTCAATCCATAAGATGACCTATCCTCTTATCCCTGACTGTGGAGATTTCTCAGCAGCTTTTGGTGAGGGACTATGTCAAATGCCTTCTGAAAATCCAGGCAGACAATATCCACTGATTCGCCAGCATCCACATGCCTGTTGACCTTTTCATAGAATTCTAAAAGGTTCGTGAGGCAAGACTTCCCCTTACAGAAGCCCTGCTGATCTTTCCCTCAGCAGGGCTTGTTCTTCTATGTGTTTTAAGATTTTATCTTGGATGAGGCTTTCCACCATCTTCCCTGGAACAGACGTTAGGCTAACCAGCTTGTAGTTTCCCAGGTCCCCCCTCCTTCCCTTTTTAAAGATTTTGCGTGACACGTGCTGTCCTCCAGTCCTCCGGCGCTGCAGTCATTTTAAGGGACAAGTTCTATATTTCAGTTAAGAGATCAGCAACTTCATTTCTCCGTTCCTTACTAACCCTTGGGTGGATGCCATCTGGGCCGGGTAACTTATTGATCTTCAATTTATCAATTAGGTCTAAAACATCCTATCTTTTGACCTGCATCTGATTTAATTCATTACTGTAGTCAGGAGGGGCCATTCGGGCAGCGGAATCTGCCCAAGGTCTTCTGTTGTGAAGACAGATCCAAAGAACTCATTTAATTTCTCTGCAATCTCCAAGTGCCCCTCTCCCTCCCCTTTCCCACCATCCAGAGGGTCAACCACCTCTCTGGCTGATTTCCTGGTTCTAGCATATTTAAAGAAGCTTTTATTATTCCTCTTTATATTGCTGGCCATACGTGCCATCATAAAAGAGATGATCTATACAACAGCAGAGGTGAGGCTTCCCCTTTGCACTCAGAGGTTACTACTGCATCCCTCTCCCTGTGAGAGCTCTAGGGGTATAGAAACCCACCCCCTTATGGCATCCACAAAACCACTGAAGGGTCCAGGATGTAGTGTTCCTTGAGACAAATGCTGGGATACTTCCCCCTCCTGTGCTCTACATGCAGAAGCAGCCCAGACTGACCAGTGAATTGTGAAGCTGGCTATGGATCAGCATCTTCTGCTACACGTGACGGCCACAGACTAGCTTAGGTGATAGAAAGCAGGGAAACCTGCATCACTCCTCCAGTACTTGGGACTGGGTGGGAAGCTGCTGCTGCTTGTCTCCTTATGCCATCTATTGTAGTACTTGGGACTGGGTGGGAAGCTGCTGCTCCTTATGGGATCTATTGTCCACTGCCTAAAGCAGCTGCCACACTCAACCAGTCCTGGAGCAACCTGCCAAAATCAACATGCAGCATTAATGTATGTGCAGCCTAGCATATTTATTGAACCAGAACTGCTAATTTCAGTAAGACCTGCTCTGTAGGAGGTATATACGTGATTGCAGTGTTAAATGTATGGTTCACCCATCCACACACCCCCGGTGTGTGTATAACAGCAATCTATTTTTGCCAACAACTCTGTATATTGTTGTTTAGTCGTTAAGTCATGCCTGACCCTTCGTGACGCCACGGACCAGAGCATGGCAGGCCCTCCTGTCTTCCACTGCCTCCCGGAGTTGGGTCAAAGTCATGTTGGTAGCTTTGATGACACTGTCCATCCATCTCATCCTCTGTCGTCCCCTTCTCCTCTTGCCTTCACACTTTCCCAACATCAGGATCTTTTAGGGAGTAGTCTCTTCTCGTGAGATGCCCAATCAGTTGTTCCATATCCAGTTCTAACTGTTGCTTCCTGTCTCA